AGGATAAGGAATAATGAAATGATTAAAGGTTTGAAGGTAAGAGGCGAAAGTTTTAAATTGCAAGCTTTTGCGGATGACCTAATTGTTATACTAGAAGAGCCAGAAAACCACCGGCGTAATCTGCAGGGGGGCTGAGGGTCTTCCGCCCCCCCCGAACGTATTGAGCCTCCCCCGGCCTTTCTACCCCCCCCGTCCCCCCACCACCCTATTTTGAAAGTGGAGTGTTCCCCCCCCTTCCGCTTTCCGTGACTTCTGCCGGACTGGGTGGGAGGGAACAAGTCAGGGCGGTAGGGGCTTGCTTCCTTCTGGAAGCTAAACTCCACCCCCAACTCCCAGTGCGGCCAGGGCCTCTCCCTCACTAACGCATTTCTGCTGAGTCCTGCCTGCTCCTTTCGCCTTGCCCTCCTCCACTTTCACAAGCTCTCACTGGTTCTCCTCCTCCTCCTGGGAACATAAACAATCAACAAGACTAAATCAACACAATCGGTAATTTTTCTTCCCCAAGGCTATTCCCAGCGAGGGACCTCTTTTTCGCGCTCTCTTGTGATGCTGCAGAATCTGCCCGGTGTCATTCGCCTGCTTGCCAGCAGCCAGCCAGCTGCCCTCCCCCGCCCAGGCCCAGACGCAGATTGCTTCCCGAAACGAGCTGTCTAACGGTGATAAGCATCCGAGGGTTGGGACCTTATTCTTGATTAACAAAAGTGTCAGGCTGCAATCCCGAACACACACCCCTTCCCCCTGATCTTTGCTGTTGTTCGTGGGAATAAGAGAGAGAGAAGGTGGGGAAGTGAGGGGGGGAGATGGAATGCGTTCGGCGAATTGATTGATCAAGCAAGGCTATATAGTCATTCACGATGCTGCCTGCAGAGCTTCGATTCTCTCCACATATATCCCCCCCCCATCATGAATAAATGGTATGTTCCTCAGACTGGACTCCGTTCAGCCTGAAGAGGAGCTGGAGTAGGCTGCACGTGGAGAGTGGCTTGGCTTCCCTGCTTTTCCCTGTGCGCAGGCAGCACAGAAAGAGCAAGGTAGTAGGAAGTGTGCTTGCACTTTGTCTGGATGTATGTGGGTCTTTAAAAGTGCTGCTGGCAGTATTCATAGGACATTTCCAGTCATTCAGTTTTGCCATTCAAGAGTGAACTCGTTTTCAGTCCCTTCTACAACTTTCTCAATGCATCTCTCCAAGTGGCACAGACTGCAGAAGCATCCTGGGTGTAGGACCCCTATCTGTCTGTGTGATACTTTCAAGAAGATGAGTTAATGATTACGGAGATTTTATTTTGGGGCTCTGCTACTTGCAGATTTTCAGCATTCCTTTCATTCTGGGAATCTGGAATGAACTTCAGCTCCAAGTTTGGACTGTGTACAAAGAGGCTAATGAAAATGGATTTTAGGGTGTGTGTTTGTTAAAGAGGGGAGTTCTTCCTTTGGAGTGCAGAGACAAATCAAATGGGGGCATATAAAGTGACATTCCGCCAGAGGAGTCCGTGCTCCAGAAGCACGTTTTTGCAGAGTGGTGTTGCCACAAAGCTGTGGATCTGTGATTTTTGCAGTTCAAGCAGTTGGCATGGACATGTTATGTGTTTTGATGGTGTGTTTGGAGTGACCCAGTACAAAAACCTTGAGGATCCATGGGGATCTGTGCTTCAGAAACATGTTTTGGCTTCATGGTGTTTTGCACTTTCGTGGTACCACGGATTTGTGGAGGCATGCTTTTTGTAGTGGTGCCTATAGTCTAAGACATGGTGTACAGTATGATGTTGGTTTCATTTCGTTTCAGTGTAAAAATCATATGAAATCATGAGGATTCATGCTTTGGAATCATGTTTTCACATGTTTGTGGTGCCACAAATCTGTGGATTTATGATTTTTGTGGTGCCTTCTATAGACCTGCACATGGCCCACAGTATTATTGTGGTTTTATTTCATTTCAATGTAAAAATCATATGAATTCATGAGGATCCATGTAGATCCGACTTTTACCCAGACCCCTTCTTACTGGTGCAAGAAAGCACAAAAGAGCCCTCAGTGGTGATATGATATGATAATGGCAGAAGTTCACCAGCTTTGAGTTGGGAATACCTTGGAGATTTTTTTGGGGTGGAGCCTGAGTGGTGGGTGTCGCCTTCTGACACATTTCCGGTGATGACAGAGGGGTGTGGCCTTCTGACACACTTCCGGTGATGTCAGGGGGTGTGACATATGCTAATGAGTTATGCTAATAAGCTCCTGCACCTCTTTTTCTATGAAAAGACCCCTGCCCGGGGGCAACTGGTTCCAGCCACCCTTGCTCCTAGCACAGCAATGCCTCTGGCCCAGCCCCAGCCCCCCCCGGGAAATTGGAAAGTCTACACCCCTGCAGAAAACTCTTTGAAGTATTTATTAGAAGAGATCCAGGACTTTGGGAAATTGGCAGGCTTTAGAATAAATGTTCAAAAGACAAAAAATTTAGTAAAAAACTGTCCACAAGAAACGATACAAAAAATAAAAGAGATATCAAAAATGGAAATAGTAGATAAAGCAAAATATTTAGGAATATGGATCTCAAATAAAACATCGACGCTATATGAAGATAATTACCTACAGCTCTTAAAAGATATAAAAGGGGACTTACAAAATTGGGGTTAAAAACATCTTTCATTAATGGGAAGGATTGCGACAGTTAAAATGAATATCTTACCAAGATTCCTTTTTCTGGCACAGAATTTGCCAATACTTAAAAATTACAAGTATTTCAAGGACTGGGAGAAAATTATAAACAATTTCATTTGGGAGTCTAAAAAACCGAGAATAAAAACTAAATACCTTCAGGACAACAAAAAAAGAGGAGGATTAGCATTGCCTAATTGGCAATTCTATTATTTTGCAGCAGCAATGGTATGGGTTAAGGAATGAGCAAAGTTAGATGACCCTAGAACATTAGCGTTAGAAGGGTCAGACTTGGTAATGGGATGGCACGCATACCTATGGTACGGAAAGGATAAAATACACTCTAATTTCCATACGCACATAATCAGAGGCTCTCTCATCAAAGTGTGGAATTTTATAAAGCATAAAACCTATACTAAGATACCACTGTGGATCTCTCCAATAGAAGCATTTGCTAAACCCTCACTAAAAGTAGGGGAAATTAATGAAAACTATGGTAACTTATTAAATAAGCAGGCCGAACTGTTGTCGGATGAGATCTTAGAGAAACATAATATAAAACTATCCTGGTGGGAAAAAAATATATTAAAATCACGGTATATGGAAGATAAAAAATAGGATTTTATACCAGCTTAAATGAACTTGACAAAATCTGGCTATCCTCCAGTGATAAACTTATACAGAAACTCTACACCATAATGGTAGAGGATTACTTACAAGAAGAAATTATAAAGTCACCGAGGTTAGCTTGGATAAAAGAGATTGGATATCCGATAGAGGCAGAACAGTGGTCTAAAACTTGGAATTCTTTGGAATTTATGAGAGCTACCACATATAAGGAGAACATATATAAAATGTTCTATAGGTGGCATTGGACCCCTGCTAAGGTAGCAAAATGCTTTCCAAAGGCGTCCAACATATGTTGGAGATGTGGAAAAATGTAGAAACGTACCTCCACATTTGGTGGAGATGTGACAGAATTCAGAAATTCTGGGGGAAATTGCTAAAATATTTCTAGAAGTCTTAAAAGTTAATATTCCATTAAAACCAGAAATATGGTTGCTAAACATGATTCCGGACAAAATAAAAAATTATACATAAATGATTACATATTTTCTAACTGCAGCCAGAATATTGATAGCAAGGCGTTGGAAATAAAAAAAATATACCTACGATAAGAGAACTTCAAAATAAGATATTAGAGATAGCTGAAATGGATAAATTGTCTATTAGGTTACAGAATAAGCCTGAGGAAGTCTTTTGGAAGAGATGGGAAAGAATATATGACTGGCTGAAAATGAAGAAGAGATATTAGGAATGGGATATGCTAGTTAAAAATAATAATTGTTAATTTAGAAAGATAAACTTGGCATGTGGACATACAGGAATTTTAAATGGATTTGTTTGAACGAATTTATGATTTGTGGAAACTGAAAATAAAATGTTAAAAAAAAAGAATTTAAAGAATTGATATTATTGCCCATATGTCCATAAAATTAAGATTTTTTTGTCCTTTCTATTTGAATACTTATTACCTAGAAACTAAATGGTATATTGTAAACATGGACATGTAGGAGAAACATCCAGAGCGCAAGATAGATCATTACTGTACCTTGCTACTCTGAATTTGTAGTGTATAGATTTGTAGTTTATAGTGAAATCATCTATGGGATCATCTATAAATAATTTTTTAAAAGTTCCCCTGGAGAAAATGGCTGCTTTGGAGAGTGGAGTCTATAGCATTATACCCTGCTGAGGTCCCTCCCCTTCCCAAACCCCTCCCTCCTCCAGGCTCTACCCTCAAAATCTCCAGGTATTCCCCAGCCCAGAGTTGGCAACCCTACAGTAACGTATGTACAATGTAGATCCCTCAAAAAAGAGGAACTTGAAAGCATATTGGTACAGGCGTGGGGGAGACTCCTATATCTATAGGAGCCTATAAGATGTTTGCCTTGTGTCCAATGTTCCCTCTAAGCTATGGAGTCTTGTGAGCAAAACTTCTACTTTGTGAGCTACTGGCATTAAAGTTGTGAGCAGGTGATTTGGCTACTGCATAAATTGGTTTGCTCTGGAGCCCTCCTTCCTGAACTAAGACAAAAATGTGTGAGCCAGAGGCTCAAAAACCGTGAGCTAGCTCACACTAACTCAGCTTAGAGGAAACATTGCGTGTCCAGAAAGTTGCTGTTTTGGAGGTTCGGGGTCTCTAGAGCCATTCATCTCTCAGGCTCGGAAGCCAAGCCGTGGAGACGGAAAGGTTACTGCTCCTGAGCCTGGAACTGGCAATCCCACGCGCGTCTCCTCAAAGAGGTAAGGGGATCCCGCCACGCCGGCCCGGCCCGCCTCCCTACCTGCGTGAAGCGGCCTTCGCAATAGGCCTGCGCCTGCGGGATGTGGAAGGCTTCATCCATATAGGGGGCGCGTTGCAGGTTCAGCGCCGAGAAGAGCAGGCAGGAGACGAGGAAGGCGCAGCTGAAGGCGGCCGAGAAGAAGTAGGCCTCGGAGCGCTCCATGTTTAGGCGGCCCCTCGCCCCCCCACCAGACGCCGACCCCTGAGCTCAGGCCCACAGCCAGAACCGGCGGCGGCAGGACCAGGCGAAGAGGGAAGCGGCAGGCGCTTCGTTCCTTCCCACGTAGCGAAGTGAGCGAGCGGGAGGGACGGAAGGACGGGGCCGCGGGGAGGCGGGGAGCTGTTCGGACGGAGGAAAGAGGCTTAGCCGCGGCTGCCTCCCGAGACCGGAGTGGCTTCACTGGGCCATGGCTGGCCTGTGCCGCATGCCCCGCCTCTCTCGCAATTTAATCCGCATAAAATGTTGAAAGCTGCATTTAAGAATTTACACACCAGATGGACCCAATCTCGTGAGTGCTATGAAATGGGGGGCGGATATGTGTAGAGATAGAAAGATAGTGTAGGCGTGGATATAAAAAGGACATGCACACTATATACTCTCTGTCACTGACACAAAGCAAGTTCCAGGTGATCAGCCGTGTTGGTCTGAAGGAGTAGAACAAATTTAAGAGTCCAGTGGCACCTTGAAGACCTACAAAGGTTTATTCAAAGTATGAGCTTTCGTGTGCAAGGCACACTTTTTCAAATACATTGGGATGGCAGATGAGGTTCTAAACTTACAGACAGGGATTTAACAGCAAATGAACATGTTAAATCTCCGTCTACAAGTTTAGAACCTCATCTGCCATTCCAGTGTATTTGAAAAAGTGTGCCTTGCACACGAAAGCTCATACCTTGAATAAACCTTTGTTGTTCTTAAAGGTGCCACTGGACTCTTAAATTTGTTCAGCTGTTTCAGACCAAAACAGATGACTACCTGAATCTGTTTTCTAATTGTGGGAAGTAAACTGACACAAAACAAAAGTGCCTCACCGTTTTTAAAGCCCATACTTATGTGATGCTAGTTTGAACTTTATGCGTGGATAAATTTAGAGTCCAGTGGCACCTTTAAGACCAACAGCGGTTTGTTCAAGATACCTTGAATATGTTCTACTGCTTCAGACCAACACAGCTGACCACCTGGAATTTTCTGCATGGATGTATTGTATCCTTCACATTTTATTTATAAAAAGCTTTCAGAGTGGCTGCAATAAAGTATCCATAATAATGAGTCCCTAACTGTTCCAGGTTTGGCTAATTTCAAAGGAACCTGCCCTTTGTGACATGATGCAGTGTTTAACACATCGGCTGGAATTGTTTCCTGACTGCCTGGTTACCCTTATTCTGTTTAATGATGTGAAGAATGCTGCCGTTCTAAGGAAAAAAGCCATGGAAGGTACTATTGATGGAGCATTAATTAGTCCTGAAATGGTGAGGAAACATTCGTTTTTAATTTATTACAGTTTAATAGCATTACAAATCTTGTAAACTCTAATGACCTTGTGTGGGTTAGATTCTGGGTTTTAGGACCCAGTAGGCTGCCTTCTGCTTTCAGATAGGAACAAACTTGGGTTGGATGAAATTAAAAGTACCCTGTTGACTATGGCTAATTGGTTAATGGCTAATGGGATCAATTTCTCAGTTTCTCTGAAGGCTGTGAAGTCAGAGTGAATGACCATCTACCTCAAACTTCATGAAGGTTCTCAACTCTGTAGTAGTTTTCTTTATGACAACAAATGTTTACTTTTGTTGTATATAAACAGACGATTTTTAATGTTGGAGGTTATTCTCAAACTCTGGTTGGGGCTACTAAGCTTAATGGTAAACAAAGGAAAGTGAGCCATGTAGGCCTACAGCAGCACATTTTAATGTCTACAAAGACTGAAGATGTGCACACCAAGAGAAAGAAACACAAGCTGGCTGTACCCCAATATTCTTTTGGTGTATTATGTGGAGAGATGTCCATATTGCATTGTTTACGATATTAGGAGGTGCAGATTTGCATGCACATAGTATAGCAAAGCCTATTAAAGAAGTACACACAAACTGTGGGTAAAAAAAATAAGTTGCTTTGGTTAGGAAGACTAGCTTTATATATTAAGAACCTTAGTCCTGGAGACTTCTGTGCTGACAGCTGTTGATGGTTGGAGGACAGATTTCTCTTGAGATCTTTTCTGACGGCATAATCCATCATTTTTAATAATGGCCCCATTTCAGATGCCACAATGCGCAGTTGTCAAGCCACAATCTTCACTGCACCTCTTATACTTGTGAATTCACTCTTCCTTCTCTGGTCAGTGGTATTGATAGTTCAGTGTTATGTCCAAACCAGCTAATGGTTAGTTGTGCTACAATTAGTGGCCAGAGCTGGGTTCTAAACAAAGATTTAAAGCAAAGTGAGATACTAGCTTCAGTCTCTTCTTTAGGCATTTAATACGTGTAATAGTAAAACTAGCTACACCAATTCAGATGTGTCATTGAACTGTGCTTAAGATTACCCAGGAAGCAGAGCAGGGAGGCACATACAGGCCCAAGGAGGGAGCATGCTAGCTCATGTGATGCTCCCAAGCAGGGTTCCCTCTAAGATGAATTAGTGTGAGCTAGCCCACAGTTTTTTAGCCTCCAGCTCACAGATGTTCATCTTAGCTCAGGAAGGAGGGCTCCAGAGCAAACTAATGTATGCAGTAGCCAAATCGCTCGCTCACAACTTTAATGCCACTAGCTCACAAAGTAGAACTTTTGCTCACAAGACTCCACAGCTTAGAGGGATCATTGCTCCCAAGTGGCAAAAGTTGTTTGGTGATGAGGCAGCATGGTGTCTGCAATCTCTGTTTAAAGAAACTGTATCGGACATATCTTGCTCCCTATCCTGAATGTGCCTTGAGCTGATATAAAAATGGTCACATGGACCCATTCCACATTCACTGCATCCCATTGGTGCTTTAAAAAACAAAAACAAAAAACACCTGTTTTCTCCCCCCCCCCAATTTACACTGTCTGGGGTCAGCATCCCTGACCCCACACCTACCACCAAAAGGGAGCTGTGCCTGGCCCAATCTCCCCAGGCGGCCAGCAGCAGGAGACGCTGCTGGGGGATGAAGCAGCCACAGCAGAGCACCTGGAAGATGTGCCAGTAGCAGCAAAGGTGAGCCGGATATGGCAGCTGCCTGACCTGCCAGAAGCTGTCCAGCCCAGAGAGCAGCCACAGGAAGCACTGGGGATGCTGCTGAAGCCTGCCGCAGTAGGGAGGAGCCTGGCACCAGGCCAGTCAGCTCTCCTGAGGATAGCTGAGCAGGCCAAGCAGCCTTCCAGCACCTTGCAGCCTCACTAGAAATGTGAAGGCACAGAATGATGCATTTTGTGGTTTTAAAGCAGTAAACCTAATTTATGTTTGATAGGGCGGTAAGTATTGCATATATTTCAATTTCCCCCAGATTTCCATCTCCCCCCCCCAAAAAAAAAAAACACAGGGGGAAAAAACATTTTGTTTGGGGTTTTGTTTGTGACTTCAAAAATTCTGGAAATTTTACATCTCTAAGCCTTGGGCGGACACCCAGGAGACAGGAGCCCTGGCAGTGACAGGAGGATGTCGGAGGCACCTGACCTGACAGCAGGCTGTCCCACTGCTGATAGCCTGGTCCAGGACCCACCTCCAGGAGAGGTGGGAGAAGAAGGAGAATGTCACCTAGCTTCCTGAAGCCCACACAGGCCAGAAGCAGGGCCATTTGGGAACTGGTGGAAGGGCAGGGCGCAAGGGGTGGCCACCTTGTTGGAGGCCCAATTGGTCCTGGCCCCCATCAGGTGGTCAGGCTCCACCCCTGGGATGAGGAGATTGGAAGAGTCTGAAGCTGTTCTTCCCCCAGGGAATACTTTAAGAGGAGCCAAGAAGGAAGGGCCAGGTCACTCCCCGGACTACAAGGGAGAGGACTGTGGCAGTCATAAGAGAGGGAACAGGGTGTGAGAAAACCTTTCTCCTCCTGGTTAACTGAGAATCTTCCAAGGCCCCCACTGGCAAAAAAAGGGGATGCTAGGGGCCACCACGGCCCCAGGCTCTGTTCCTACAACAGAAGAGTCAGACATACACAAGTCTGAGTGAGAAGAAAACTTTCTGTTAGAGTGAAACTCTAAAAACTTTTCCCTGGCTTGCTCCAAGGTTTCAAAGCATCCATATTTTCCCTAGAGCAACATGTTTTGTTCTCCAGGGTCCTCCTCACCTTGCCCACACTGTAAAAGGCATCTTATTTTCTCTGCCTGATAATGATACTTTACTTTCTGCAAACCTCAGGATAGAGAGCCAGTTTGGTGTAGTGGTTAGCAGCACGGACTCTAATCTGGGAGAACAGAGTTTGATTCCCCACTCCTCCACATGCAACTGCTGGTCCGACCTTTGGTCAGTCACAGTTCTCTCAGAGCTGTTCTGGAAAGAGCAGTTCTCAAAAGCTCTCCCAGCCCCACCTAGCTCACAGGGTGTCTGTAGTGGGGAGGGAAAAGGAAAGGGAATTGTAAGCCGCTCTCCTTCGGTTAGTGAAGGGTGGGATATAAATCCAATCTCTTCTTTTCTTCATAATATATTTTTTCTTTGCTCGTACATGCATGTGTGCACATACACAGAAGCATTTATTCAGCTGAAAGAAGCAGGGCAAAAAAAAAAAATCACAAGTCTGTGTATGCCCAAATAAGATTTTTTAGGCAGAGAAGTGCCTAGGGAAAAAGCCCCAGAACAGATACCCACTTGGGCAGTTGTAATTGTTGGACTGAGCCTCAAGAGATTTGTTTGTGAATAAAACTAGCATATCTGCAAATTGTTTGGCTTGTCTCAGTATCTAAGATAGAAGCTTTGCCTTTTATGCCTTTCTAAAATACTGTTTTTCCTTATAGCATTTGTTCCATTTTGAGACCTCTAATATAAGGACGTTTTTCTGTTCTGTATGGCAGATTATCGATCCGTTTCAAATTCTCGTGGCAACCAATAAAGCTGTTCATCTTCACAAGACTGGTAAAATGAAGACAAGGACTCTTAATGCAGAAATAATATTCAACCTTTCACCTAACAATAACGTAAGAGTTAACTTGAAAGCGCATTGTGCAAGCCAAGTTGCCCTCATCAGTGCAAGAGTGCAAAATACATATTAACTGCAGACTTCCTCTTGTCCATCAGGAGGGCATCTGTCCCCTGTTGCCAGAGTGGACTAATGGTTAGCTTGTTGGAATAGAACTAGGGAGGCCTGGGTTCAGTTCCCCACCAGGCCATGGAGCTCCCTGGGAAGCCTGCGTCACAGAGTTGTTATGAGGATACATAGTAAAGAGTATAACCGTGAATCTCTGTGGAGGGATAAAAATATGTTGCATACGTCAGTAGTGTTCAGGTATTGCTGGCTATTCTTAGTTCTAAACCTACTACTGGAATGCGTATAGATGACTGCCATGTTAGTGGTGAAAATTCTGTGGAAGCACACTCCCTATATTTTAGTCAGGTGGGTAATCTTTTCCCCAGGATGGAACTCAGAAGAAATCTGTTCTGGTTTGCAGCTAAAGAAGTTCTGTTCACAGTATTAATTAGCTGACCTTCGTATCCATCATTTAGCTGCCTCTCCTCCTTGGGGCTGCTTTTCAAGTATGAAAAAACTTGAAAAAAATCAACACTGACAAAATGTTTGATCAGATAACATGTGGGAGTGAGCATACAAAATAGAGATTGCCCATGGAGCGTGGGAGAGG